CTGTGTACCCGATCCCGTCCGACGCTACCGATGCCAGACGTATGGTCACTTCACGGACAAGTGCTGGAAAGAAGTTAGATGCGGAAGGTGTGCGGAAATAGGTCACCAACACTCTGAGTGTAAATCAGAAGCCGTGAAATGCGTCAACTGTGGTCAGGGTCACGTGGCGTCGTATCTCAGCTGCCAGTCCTTCTTGTCAGCGAAAGCTGTCCTGAACATAAAAGTGAAGGAAGAAGTCTCGTTTCGGGAGGCCCAACGCCGACACAACGATGCGACCACCACAAGGACATACAAAGACGCCCTTACCAATCCGGCAAGAAATTTAGCCCAAGTTACACCCGCAGCCAACGGGGTACTGAAACTGAGTGGACTTGATGATTTCAAAGGCATGACTGTAGGCGAGTTTGTACAGCTGATACTAAGCACACTTGTATCAACTGGATCTGCTGTTCCGTCGTACCGGAAGTCGGATCCTCCGGAAAAGAATCCACCTGCGGCATTGGCCGCCGCTAGAGAAGCTCAGCCTATGGGGTCGGAACCCCCTGGTGGAGCTGCCAGAGCCCGGGGCTGGGTTGCGACCCGGGAACGGGGGATGGACCACGGTCCAGCGAGGTCGTGGACTTCACCCCCGATCATCACACCCCGGCCCAGCCCGTGCTGAAGACACGCCCTCCCGGGCTGCATCTCCCCCTCCATCCATACCAGCTACGACGGGATCTTTCGTCGCTGGCACAGGGGCGCTACGAGAGCTGCCCCCCCTCCCCTCCCTCTGGCTCCCCAGCTAGTGGCCCTGCCGGGAGCGCCGGCCCCCCCGGCTCACGGCAGCCGGACAAGGTTCGGCATCCCCCAGTCGTCCCCCCTCCCGGAGCCGCCCTTCTGAAACTTGTTCGTCCGGGTTCTCTGGACCTTGGCCCTGCAGGGCGCGCCACCAGGTCGGCGTCTGCACAGCAGACGGGGGACCGGCTTCCTCTGTCGACTCCGCCCCATTCACCGGGAGGGTCAATGGGTCCGCCTCCCATTCCTCCACCTGGAGACGGGGTTTCGGGTCGGCCTACCCTGCAGTCCCCGGTGGCAGGTCGTGCAACAAAGCGTGCCCCTCCTTGGCCGACGTCGCCTACGGAGGGTAGAAGTCCCAAAGCTCGGCCAAGGGTCCGGCCTACCTCTACTGAAGTAGAGCGTCGCCAGGGAGATTTGTTTAATGCAAAATCCTAGGTGAACTCTTAAAGCAGATGTAAGCTATACCGGTGGATTTCAACCGCACACCCCACATACAAGCATACCCAGCATGCCACTGACGTTTTTACGATGGAACATGCGTGGCTTGAGGGCCAACATGTCGGACCTACACACACTCTTATCTTATCATAACCCGGTTGTGGCATGCTTACAAGAAACAAAGGTATCTGATGATACCCACATTAACATCAAATGTTACAGCATCTTTCGGAAAGACGTGAGAACTGACACGATCGCCCATGGTGGGGTGGCGGTTTTAGTTCATTACGGTGTTACCGTGTTCTCCTGTAAGCCTTAACACTGACCTTCAAGCTGTTGCTGTCGTCGTCGACCTTGGGTCACTGAGGCTGATTATCTGTTCTATCTACCTCCCTACTGCTGAGGAAGTACCGCATTCGATACTACAGTCCATCTTCGATCAGCTTCCATCGCCGTTCTTGTTGCTACGTGACTTCAACTCCCATAGCCCTTCGTGGTGCTGCAGTCACAGAAGCCGCCGAGGCCGACATCTTGAGCGTTTGCTGAATACAAATAATCTTTGTGTTGTTAACACCGGCCGGCATACCCATATATCTCTGCCGTCCAGCACTACTTCAGTGATAGATATTTCTATCTGCTCCTCGTCCCTTTTCTGTCGGTTGTCTTGGTTCGTTGAGAGCACTACATATGGGAGCGACCATTTCCCAATATGGCTTGGGATGAATGCTGGACACCCAGGCAGGAGGCCTTCCTGCTGGAACCTTCGACGTGTTAACTGGCAAAGGTTTACTGACGAGTGCCATATTAGAGTGCAGCCGACCGAGGACGGCAATGCAACGTCTCTTGCACAACAAGTGACATCCACAATTGTCGACACTGCAAGGTCTTGCATTCCCTTGACATCACCTGAGCCGCGCAGGATCCCTGTTCCCTGGTGGTCAGAGGACTGCAAGGCGGCAATTCTTAAGCGGAAGCGGGCGTTCAGGGATTTCAAGCGTTCTGCAACGACCAACAACCTCATCGCTTTTAAAAAGGTCAGGGCATTTGCGAAACGCACAATACGCGAGGCACAGTGTACATCATGGGGGGAATATGTAAATGGTTTAAATCGTCACACCCCACTGAGTGCAGTGTGGCAGCGAGTTAGTCGCATTTCCGGTAGGAGCGTCTGCATTGTAGTTCCGGTGTTGAAAGTGGCGGGAATCACGATATTGAACAAACAGGAAGTTTCCGACAAAATAGGTCTCGCATTTGCAGAAAGGTGCCGACATGGAACAGACGACCCACCTTTATTCGTTACAAGGAACAAAGTGAGAAGACGGCAATCAATTTTAGAATTCCTGACTCAGAGATTTATGAGTACAACCAACCATTCACTGTCATGGAGCTCTGTACTGCTCTTAAGAGATCTAGGAGTGTGTCGCCTGGAATGGATGAAGTCCACAATGATATGCTGAATCACCTAAAGAAGGAGTCCCTCCATGCCTTACTTGAACTTTTCAACTACATATGGTTGCAAGATGACTTCCCGGAGTCGTGGCGGGAGGCCATTATAGTCCCGATACGGAAGCCCGGAAAGAATGGTTCCAACCCAGTGCACTACCGCCCAATTTCGCTGACTTCATCCCTATGCAAAGTGCTAGAGAGGATGGTGAATGATCGTCTCATGTGGTACCTTGAAACCCACGGCTGTCTTTCCAGAGTGCAATGCAGGTTTCGGAAGGACCTGATGCACTGTTGACCACTTAACGATCTTAGACACAGCTATACGACATTCTTTTAAATAAAGACGTCACACGATAGCAGTCTTCTTGGACATTGAGCGGGCTTATGATACCACCTGGCGCTATGGCATTCTAAGCAAAGTACACAAGTGTGAACTCCGAGGTCACATGGCACTCTTCATTGAAACATTTTTACGTCGTTGATTTTTCTGCGTCCGAGTGGGTGGCATGCTATCCGATCGCTGTGGACAAGAGAACGGTGTTCCTCAAGGGAGCGTCCTTAGCGTAGCCCTGTTTGCGCTGATGATCGATGATGTCGCCGACTGTCTGCCACCTACCATTAGTCGGTCACCGTTTGTGGACGACTTTGCCATCTGGTGTGCAGCATCCACAACGACGTCTGCTGAGAGGCAGCTTCAGTTATGCCTGATTTGACTAACTGAGTGGAGCCTTAAGAATGGCTTCAAATTTTCGACCACCAAGACTTAGTGTATGCACTTCTGCTCACGGATTAGAGGCTGTAAAGACCCGGAGTTGCGACTCTATAATGCCACTATCCCAGTTTGTAACGACATCTGTTTCCTGGGCCTCACGTTTGACCGTCGGCTCACGTTTAAGCAGCACTTTAAGATGGTTAAGACTAAGTGTTTGAAGCGCATGAACCTCATGAAAGTAATGTGTCGTATGACCTTTGGGGCCGACAGAAGCACCCTGTTGAACTTGTATAGGGCCCTAATTCGATCATCGATTATGCTAGTCCTGTTTACGATAGTGCTCCTACATCTTCAAAGCAGGTTTTGGACACAATCCACCATACGTGTGTTCGTGTAGCTACTGGGGCGTTTCGTACGACCGGAACAAGAAACTTGCTGGTGGAAGCGAATGAACCGCCCTTGCCTCTTAGGAGACAACGACTTACTTTGAATTACGCCACAAAGGTTTCACAATTTCCGGACCACCCAGCCTTTAAGTTCATCTTCTCTCAGACGTTAATCCGTTCTTTCTTGAGGGGGCGGCCCACGTCAGCGCAGCCGATGTGCCTGCGCGTCCGGGACCGGCTGGACGAGGCGGATATTACGCTGGATGACATTGCCCCGCACACTCTTCGGGACCCAGCTCCGTGGAGACGTCTGAGTCTGAAGTATGATTTGGAACTTTGTCAGCATCATAAAAATGGCACTTAACCACGAGATTTCCTCACCTATTCGTTGGAACAGATCTCACAATACGCGAACTCATTACAAATATTTACCGATGGGTTCAAGGGCTCAACAGGAACGGGTTGCGGATTTGTTTGCGGTGACCATACCGTAGGTCTATGCCTCCCGCAGCACATGTCAGTTTTTCCTCAGAACTGTTTGCCATTTTAGCAGCGCTTAAGTACGCTTTTTTCCCCCAGCGGCCCTTCATCGGTTACTCGGTTGAGACCCATATGGTGAACTTGGAGATATACTCGCATTTTTAACACACATTGACTTTGACGTCATTTTCACTCACCCCTCAGTGTAAGTGCGCCAGTGATACTACCTGTTATTAGTTGACAACATACTTATCGCGTCGTCGCAGAGGTGGATAACCGTCATCGAGTGGGCGCCAAATGGCCCCGATGCCGACGCACCCTTAAAAACCAAATCACCACCGGCAGCATCTCGACGTTATACAAACGTTGCATGACGCAATGAAACAATGACGTATTGAGTAGCATTTGCTAAATTAAGACACATTGTTGTTTAATACAGTCAATCCCGCTCGCATACATACAATTATAAGTGAGCTTCTTTCGTCACGTCTCATATTTACTTCAATGCCTTCGAATGTGGAACACTCCCTCTACTGGTTTGCAGTATAGGGTTGCAAATCACGACATCACACTCGCCCTTCAGTTCTACATCATCGGCTCGCCGTGTATTTGCAGTTTACGCTTACAGTTTACTACTTATTTGTACAACAATTTCCGATGTTCCTGGCCGCCCCGCAACGTTACGCAGCACGGCTGACGGCTACGCTGCATTCAAGTGTTGGCACCAGTGACGTCAGCGTAGCTACAGCGCTGGTGAAAAGCTGAGTCTGCTGTTGAGATGAGGCCACTAAAAAAGGCGCAATGCAGTTGCGCAACAATTTACCCGCGCATTTGTGATGCTAAGCGGCGGTGTGATGCGCTCGAGCGGTGAGGGCTGGGGTTTGCCTCGCGGGATGTGCTTATTTTATTAGGGTCACGATCCTCTATGTCTAGATGAAACAGGCTGAAGTGTTGTACAAGTCTGCAAGTAGATGTGAACTTCTCTTTCACAGGTAGACAGATGTTATTGTTTTGGGGGCTGGGCTGTAGGCATGACAATTGAACATCTGACATGAACCAACCCGCCAGGTGGCAATCTGTCCATTTTGGTGGTAATACAGTTGTAGGGATCTTAAATTTCTGCACATGTTTTATACAGAAGTGGTGTGATGTCCATGTGTTCTTTTGTAGACTTTGAAAGCTGTAGTTAAACAAGAATTTCAGCATGTGAGTCAAAGAAAAGGAACACATGACCAGTGAGTGACCCAAATGTCAACATTGTGCAACTGATCAAGTTAAACCGTATATTGGGGCTGATTTTTTTGATTTATTGTGTGTTTTGGCAGCTCCATGCATGCTCCATGCATGGCCTAAACAAAAGAAAGCATGTTCTCATTTTGTCAAGTTTTGCTGGTTGTAGTGGTCTACCTCAACTTTGGACAGTTCATGTGTATCTGCATACTTTGTAATACATGTAATACAAAGGGCATGCTCCCCTAGAGGCCAATGTGTGTGTGAACCTCTCAATAATATATGGAATTATTTGCTTTTCATATTTGATTGCTTGCTTGCAATAATGGTAGTGCTGTTAGTTTTGTATGAGCAATTTTGATAGCTCATTTTAATGGATTAATTAATGTTGTTGGAAATTTTGCTCAGATGTAATATGCACCAGCTGCATCTTGTAGCATTTCATCATTCATGGTGGTGTGTGGGTAGTGTACACAATGTGTATAGGTGCCATGAAGTGTCAAATGATGGCTGTGCATATATTTGGTTCTTGTACCATTGTTGTTTTGCTTCATCCTCAAAATAACTTTGTGATAAGCAATGTTGCTCAACGAGTGTAGCATGTTACACATAGCACATCATGATTGTGCCCCTAGCTTTTCCGGAAACATCAAGAGCTTGATAGTCCCTTAATTGGATGCTGAACTGTGGGATTTGATGCAGTCATCCAAGTTCAAGATTTAGTATGATGCACAGAGAATGCCTTCAAAAAGTGATGTATTTTTCTGGCCAATGGTGACTTTTCATAGTTTGTTATCTTTAGAGGTATTCATTTTTCTGGCCAATGGTGACTTTTCATGGTTTGTAATCTTTAGAGATATTATTGTTATGCCTGCATAATGTTCCTGCATCATGTGTCATGCCCTTGTCATGCCTTGAGCCTATGTAATGAATATGTACATGAAAGTACCTGGGCTCACCAAAATGTTGTGCTTCAGGTGAAAAATGCAAATGAATGGCATCTTCCTGCTTCATTTAGTATCTTCTTTTCCCAGGGTTTTCCTCTTCACACCAGCAATTTTGCTAAGATTGTCATCACACAGAGGTGGTGGTTGGAAGGCATTACCTAGCAGTGCTTCCTCACTGCGGTGTTCAGCCTGTAGCGTGACAGTCAAAGACAAAGTTCAAGAGTGGGACTATTTCATGGCTTTGGGACTTGTGGTCAGAGTTGAAAAATTTTTGGAGGACAAAAATTTTGGAATGATTGAATTGAAAGCTGTTTGAATATTCTAAGGGAATTTCAGAAAGAATTGGTTTTGTATTTGCATGGTACCTATCCATGTGTATGACTGTAATCCTTGCAAAGTATTGTCATCAAATATTATTTTGACAGAAATAGAAGGGAATTGGGATTAAGCCTTTTGTGTACTTAAAGTACAAGTTGATACACCACTTGTCCATGGCATCTCATCTTGCATCATGTGCACAGCACACAAGCTGACACATGTGGCAGTGTGCACTAATGATTCTTGTAGAAGGTTTGTCTGATATAAATGCATGCAGTTAAAAATTATTTTGGTCTGCAATGAGTGGTGCCAATTTCCAGTTGCTCTAGTACAAGAGTAAAAGCAAAACTGAAAGGGTGCTTTGCCCATTAGTCCCAGTGGACAACAAGAGCATGCTTTGTTTTATTTTTGGATGCCAATTCAATAAAAGTAAAAGCTTTGATGGAAGACAACTTATTTCAAGGTAAATGTGCATATTTTGTTTCGCCAGTTTGCATGCTCCAGTTTTCCACCAACAAACTGTGATGCTAAAAAGCCAACCTGTCTTAGCACACCATCCCTGGCTAGTTTCATGGGATATTAGCTCAATCCAGAAACAATATCACAAGTCACTTGTCCTTTTCTGGTAGTTTGGAGAGCATTTGCATTGCTAATATTTTCATTTCCTGGCAGTGAAGATGTCAGAAGCCATGGACCTGATGCCATCAGAGATTGCTCGGCTTATTCTTGGTGAGAACCTCTGATCATGCAGATCACTTCTGTGTTGTGGGTGCCTCCCTCATATCTATAACTGGGCTACATGGTTAAGCTGTCTCCATGTTCTGTTATTGCTGTCAAAATGACAGGCCACAAGGCATGATATGCTGTAAATGAATTTACATTATGTTGTCATTAAGGGTAGTGCTCACTCCCAACAAAGGTCCAGCTCATGAATTCTGTCTTGTGCTTCCATTTGTGCATTGTGGAACTCTTTGTGATTGCCCATGGACATGCTATCCACAAAACATGCATTGCTAGTGCAGCTATGGTACCATATCATCTGTCCCCAGTATTTGACAATGGGCTGTAGCTGTTCTTGAAACCTCTTCTGTGAGACAGTTCTTAGACATGACAGGTTTTCCACTCCTGTCATGGCGTTCTTGCTGTAGCATTATGCCATCATCTGTTGCATGCACCAGCCATGTAGACACCAGTGCCAACATTAAGAGCCCCTGACCTGACCACTGCCGAGCGGCCTGAGCCGACTGCTGGCCCCAGCTGCGGCCTTCCCGTGGGGCGGCTGCGGCCCGACTGACTCCTGCCGCGCGCCACAGGTCACCTGAAGGAGTCGGGCTGCCCGGCCAGCCGGCAGCAGTTCCTGGCCGAGTGTCCCGATCTGGCCGAGGTGCGTCTGCAGCTGGTGCGCGGCCGCGTCTGCTCCACCCGCATCCAGGGCTATTCGCTCGGCAAGATCCTCGAGGAGTTCTGCATGGCCCGATCGCTGGGTAAGTCCGCCGCCCCGGACCCCCCCCCCCCCCCGCTCCGGATAAATGCACCGTCGCTGGGGACGGGCGCCGCTTGTTCCCATCTCCAGTGGACGCTTTCGTTTGCAGCAATTTCAGCGCCTTGCGACAAGCTGACCATTACAGCGCGCCGTTCTGTTCTGGTACAGTGGTCGTGAACTCGAGGTTATTCGTCGATGGTACTCTGGCAACAGAGGCTTGGACCAGTGCACTTCGCCGTAATGTTCTGTGTGAAATGCGGTTTAGCTGCAGGGGATGACCACCACGCTCTCCTGCGTCACGTCTTTTGTCCGAGTGAAAGTTCTCTTGCGCTACACATGTACTTGCGCGGGACCTCGCAAAATGTCCATTCACTGACGATGGCCGCGGCTGGTGGAGATGCCTGATGCCTAGATAGGGCCTTGTACGTCCTCTTCGATACAGCAACTGGCTGTGGTTACCCGCGACCTTGGGCTGCGCGAACTCCCCTGAATGTGACCATCCCATGGCACCGTGCCATCGTCCCATTGCTCCGTGCCGCGCCTCACCCGCCCGCCGCCCGCCCGGCAGTGGATGATGCGCTGTTGGGCAAGGGGGACGGCGAGCCGCCGGCCGGCTTCCTGGACAGGCTGCGCCGGCTGGTGGCGCTCTCTTCGCTGGAGCGGCTGCAACAACCCCCACCGGTATGGCCGGGCGCCGGGCTGGGCCGCTCCCATTTTATGGCGAAGGGGCTGGAGGTGTTCGCTTTATCACAGTTCAGAGCTAATTGTTCCTGGTACCAGTCGACTATCAGAACACAAGTCACATTTGATTGAAAGTGTGTGCAATTTGTGCTACTGCAACATCACCCAGAGGTACACTCAAGTGTGCAATAGTTTTACATGTCGGGAGGGGTGATATGTACGACGATGCGCTCAGTTTGTCGTGTTCATGCAAGCCCCCTCCCATTTATGGTGTTTATCATGATCTTGAACAACGAACAGACCAAGCTGACATGCGTGCTCCTCGCGATGGCCAAACTGACCGAAGGTGGTGTGTTCTAGGGGCCGCCGCCGCCCAACAGGAAACGCACCATCACGCTGAGCAAAAAGCGGCTCAGGAAGCAGAGGGAGCAGAGGGATGTGGTGCCGGAGACGCCGCTCGCGAGTGGTGAGGAGCAGGCTGCCATCGGTGAGTGATGGTGCGCCGGGTGACCGGGTGATGTGGTCAGTGCCGTGGCTCAAAGACACCGGTGCACAGACCACGCCGTGGCCTTGCCATACGCCTCCCCCTCCCTCTCCAGTCTACGGCATGGTGGCTGCTGACGGGCTGCGCGAGCCACAGGTGTTCCCACTGGAGTGGTATTCCCAGGAATTTGAGGTTTCGGGATTTGCTATCGCCGTTTTACTCTTGGCAACATGTCCTCAAAGTCAAGGGCGAATAATCAACATTTTTTCTTTCCCCGTTGAAATAGTATTACGTTTGCCAACTAAGATTTCTTAGGGCTGTACCCTGGGGCCTCCTTTCCGAACATTGGCCGTAAAATGACATGGGCCGTCGGCACGCCTTTAAGCCCCAATCATGATCACTTCTGAACATCCGGCGTCCAGAACCAGAACGTCCGGGCAGCTACTCAGCTAAAGCTCATGTATTGTCGGACGGTGCCCGCTGTTCGTCGACCTCGTATATATCTCCACACGCGTCGTGTGCGACCGCTGACCTGGTCCGGCCTGTCGCCCAGCGGACGGACGGTCCGGGGCGGGAGCGGCGCTGACGCCGCCGCTGGTGGTGTACGGCCCGGCCGAGTACCTGCACCGGGGCCGACTGGCCTCCGCGCTGCGTCAGTCCGAGCCCGAGCCGGCTGGGGACCGCTGGCAGCCGGAGCCGCCCGCCGCGGCGGAGGACGGGTGGGAGCCGGAGCCGGAGCCGGAGCCGGAGCCAGAGCCGGCGTCGCCGGAGCTGACGTGCAACAGCCCGGACCACCGCGCCAAGCGTAAGGGTCAGCCGCCGGCCAGCGCCAGGAAGCGCGCCCAGGCGGACGGCGACGGCGGCTCGGGCGAGAGGTAAGCTGGTACCACCGCCGCGAGTCGGACGCGCCGGCGGCGGCGGGACACGGACAGGCGCGACGCGTCGGTGGTGTCCGGTCAGGAGACAGCGGCGGCTAGTGCTCGGCTGATGACGTTCTCGTCTCTAGCTGGAGCTGTCAGTGGGCATGATACTTTGACTAGCGCTGCATGGTGCCTAGGTATGATTGTACGAATGACACTGAATGTTCCATCACACGTTCATACATGCGACTCCGCAACGTCAGCTATGTGCATCAATGAAGATGATGGATATCGTTGATTTGTTAAGTTACCAAGCCACCTACTAGCGCCGCTTTAAGCATTTGTGATTGCTCTGGTACGTGTTCCAGACTCGATGAAATGGGGCAGGACGGCGAACATCCCTTGGCAGCTGTCAGCATCGAGAACTTCTCCGTAAGTTGCTCTTCGATAAGTGAGGGTCTGTCCTCAGCTTGTAAGTCTGGATCACAGTGGCAGTTTGCGTGTGTTGGTGGTGCCGGCCCGGAGCGTTGACCGAGACTCCTGACGAGCACTGCTGGGAAGGTGAAGAGGACAGCGGCTGGCGGTATCGCGCGTTAGCTGGACAAATGTTGCCATTGCTGACGAACGTCGCCGACACGACGTCGGACGAGTTTCGAGGAGTCCTTTATGTCGCTTGTGAAGCGATGAACAACGCCCCGGATGTGCCGCTCGCGGCTGACCATGCGGGCCGCCTCCTCGCTCGCAGTCGCTGCTGGACGAGCTGCTGTCGAACGCCGACCTGCAGAACCGCATCGCCGACAACATCAACCGGACGGTGTCCGACGCGGCCGTGCCGAGCCGGGACCTGGCGATCCGCAGCGCCGTCGATCAGACCACTTGTGACCCGGTGTTCAGCCAGGTGCTGCGAGGTACGGCCCGGCGCCGCTGCCAACAGCACCGGCGCGACGGCAGAGCAGGGCAGGGGACGTGCGCAGCGCTCGCGGGTCGGCAGTGCGGGCGGCCCCGTCAGCGGCTCGGTGGGGCTGTGGTCACGCCTCACCGGCATGTGTAGGGGTTTGTTGGACGCTGATGTGAACCGCGCTGGAGCAGCTGCTGTAAACACCCCGGTGCGGTCCCGTCGTCGACCCGGGATCGTTCTTCTTCCGGAGTGGTTAGGTTTGGCGAGTTTGTATACCTATCGTCGTTACTTTGACATACAGAGACCGTTAGAGGGCATGCATGTCCAATCTGACAGGGTTCAGAATGCTGGACATTTTGACAGCTCGCGTCCTGGCACACTGCCAGGGCCCGAGCGATACTGGGCCCGGGCCGGTCGTGGAAGGCGACCTTGCTCGTGCCAAGCGCTACGGCCTTAGCAGGCCCTGCAGGCGTTGGCACGGCACGGTGCCGCTGTCTCAATCTCTCGCCGGTCGTTGACCTGTACCTATCCGCCCCCAGGCTCTGCCGACCCGGCCGCTCCGTGTCGCGACCCCGGGCCGGGGACGCGCCGGGTCACGTTCGCCGACCAGCCGTTCCCGCCGCCGCCGCTTCCTCCCGTACCTCCATCAATGCCGCCACCTCCGCCACCGCCTCCGCCGCCGCCTCCATTGGGACAGGTGCTGGTTGACACGGGCCTGACGGCGAGCGTGACGCGGGTGGGCAGCGAGCACGAGGTGCGCCTGCTGGACCCGGCGGTGGCGCGGCTCGGGCCGGGCCTGGTGCTGCCCGCCGGCGCCGGCTTCAGCTGGCGCCATGCGCGCCACCGCTCGCGGCCCGCAGAGCCGGCGTCCGGAGACGGCCCACCGGCCTCGGCGGCGGCGGACGGCGGTGCCGGAGGTGCACCACGGTCGGAGCAGGGCGCGTGCGACGCTGCCTCCGCCGCGACAAAACAGGAGGCCGACGAGTCGCCGCCTCCGCCGGCGGAGAAGGCCTGCCAGGCGGAGGCGGCTCCCGCCGAGCGGACGGAGCTGGACGGAGCCGCGCCCGCCGAGTGCGCCAAGGTGGCTGGTGCGCGCGCCCCGGCCGAGGGCAGCCCGCACTCGCAGGACTCGGCGCCGAGCGTCGACTCGCAGCGGCTGCAGGTAGCCACGGACGGGGACAACGAGGCTGCGGCGTCGCCGGAGAAGGGCGCCGCTCGGCCGCGGCCCTCGTTCGCCTACCTGGTGGGTGAGGTGGAGGGCGTGCCCCTGCAGGCATACACCGTGTTCGGCCGGCCCATGTCGCGTCAGACGTTCGACGTGTTCAACCAAGAGGCGGCGGAGCGAGCCAGTAGGCAGGAAGAGCTGGATCTCGAAATCAAGGAGGCGGACGGTGAGTACGCGACGCGCCCTGCCGCCCGTCGGCTGGCTAGGAACTCGCTTAGCCGCTGCAGGCGTCGGAGGTGTCTCGTGTTTTCCACCAGGTAGTCTCCCGAGTGTTTGATGGGTATTTTATGGTCTTTTAAGGTCATCTGCACGTTGCAGCGCCGTATTATGGGGCCTGCGCGTAAGCGCGGTTTGTGTGTGAGACGTGTCACCTTTGCTCGTGTACAGACGTACAGAAATTGAGACCACTGCCAGTCTGACCTTTCCATTCGGAGCCGTTTGCCGTCTGAAGCAGTTGGTCCGCGCCTGTTTCAGAGCGGGCAGCGCGTCTCCGGGCAGCTACCGACCGTGCGGCGGCGAAGACGGAGCTGGCCGCCTCGCCCGGCCCGACCCCGGAGCACGCAGAGGCTGACACCCCGGAGCCGGGCCGCACGACGCCGGTTGACGCTATGACACCCTCGAACGCCGACTCGGGCCCGGCCACCGCTGTCGGCTTCTTCAGTCCGATGCTGAGCATGCCGCTGGCCGGTGAGGTGCTGTCGTCGCCGTCGTCGCAGCCGTCCGTCTCTCCGCCGACCGCCTCCCCGCCGTGTGTCGCCGATCCGCCAGCCGCCTCCCCGCCGTGTACCGCCGATCCGCCGGCCGCCTCCCCGCCGTCTGCCGCCGGTCCGTCAGCCGCCTCCCCGCCACCTGCCGCTGCTCTGCCGGCCGCCCGCCAGCCCAAGGCCATCAGCCCACGCCTGGCCAGTCTGCTGAGCGTGGCGGGTGCGATGCGTGCCGCGGGCGGCGCGCCAGCCACCGGACCGCGCGCTCGACCCAGCCCGCCACCGGTCAGCCGCCGGCAGAGCGCCAGCACGCCGCGGCGACGCAGCCACGTGCGCGCGCTCGACTTCAGCACGCCTCCGCGCTCGTCGGCGCTGGACGCGCGCCACCTGAAGGCAATCCGGCGGCGGCTGCGCAGCTCACCGCCGGGTCCGGAGCAGCCCGCGCCAGCCGAGCCCGCGGCGCCGGAGCCCGGCCGGCGGCGCGGCGCGCTCGGGCCCGCGCCGCGTGGTGCCCACGCTGATCTCGCGTCGTGTCACCTGCAAGCCGTCGCAGTTCGCGCTGGTGACGCCCGTCAAGAATGAGGCGTCGGTGCGCGCCGACGACTGGCCGCCGATCCAGACGCCGACCGTGCGGCGCCGGCCGTCGGAGAGCCCGTCGGGCCGGCCGTCGCCGCCGGAGCCACCGGAGCCGGCCTCGCCGGCCACGGCCTCGCCCGGCACGCCGCGCACGCCGCGCACGCCGGCCACGCCGCCCTCGCTGGGGCAGCCACGCGCCGCGCCGAGCCGACGCCAGCTCGGCGAGCAGATCGAGCGGCAGCTGGCGGCACAGTTCCCGACGCCGACACCGCAGCCACAGCCGGAGCCGGCGCCGGCACCGCGCCGTCGGGCGCCGCCGCGTCGCCGGACGCCGATGCCGCCGTCGTCGGTGCCAGGTCGGCGTCTGACGCGCGCTGCTGCCCGCGAGCTGGCCCGGGAGACGGCGCTGCAGCGAGCCGACACGGAGCAGCCGGCGGACGATGGCGGCAGCGGCGCGGTGGACGGCCCGGTGCCGGGCTCGCCCGCTCGCCCCGCGCCCACCGTGTCTGGAGCCGACCCGGCAGAGGCGGCCATCGACCAGTCAGCGATGGAGACGGAGCCGGTGAAATCGGCTGAGGTGCCAGGGAAAGCGTGCCTGGCCGTCCAGGCGGGACCGGCTGGTGCTGCCCAGGTCGGTGGTGGGGCGAGAAGCGGTTTGGTTGCGCTAGAGCACGTGGCCGCCGCAGACGTCCCTACGGTGGGAACGTCCCCGGTGCTGGCCGAAAGAGCGCCTGCCGCCGTCGGCAGCGGCGAGAATTCCTCCCACAGCGGCCATGAGGCGGCACCACCGCTGCAGCCGACGGCGTCCCCCACCAGGCACCGCACTCCGCGCAAGAGCCCGCCAAAGAAGCGGATCCTGCGGATGGACAGCGGCGGCGGCGGCGCCCCTGGCGTCAGAGCGGAGTCGGCGGGTCGCGGAGAGGGGCCGCGCGGCCCGGAGCCCATTGCTGAGTCGGCGCCGGCGGCGCTGGCCGCGGCCGATCCGCAGACGGCGCTGGCCTGCAGCATGCTGCTGGAGCTGAGCGGCAGCGGCAGCAGCAGCCAGCTGGCGGCCAAGCTCAACCGCCGCCCGCCCGATGTCGCCGCAGCCGCCGCCTCCGCCTACGGCTCCGACAGTGAGCCCAGCTCGGCCGACTCCAGCTCGTCGTCGTCCTGCTCCTCGTCCTCGTCGGCCTCGTCGCAGTCGGACTCGTCGTGTTCGCCGTCGTCGGACGCCGAGCGGGTGACGACACTGCGCCAGGCTCACAGCGTGCTGAAGACGCTGCCGGCCGCGCCGCCGGCGCTCACCCGGGCCGTGCGCAGCGCCGTGATGGAGCGCGAGAGGAGGCCGATCGGGCAGGCTCTGTCGGCCGGCGCTGGTGCCGCGGAGGCCAGGGGGGAGGTGGCGTCAGACGGTGACCGTGACGTGCTGGCGGGCAGTGACAGTGAACCGGAGATGGAGGTGGACGGTGAAGTGCCTGCGGCAAAGGACGAGGAATACGCGACTAGAGGCGACCATCACGTGATGGCTTCAGGTTTGCCGCCCGTGGACAGAAGCGACGCTCGCCCTGCAGGGAAGCCTGTTCAGTTTGCACAGTCAGAAGGCCATTTAACACGATCAGGAACATCTATGGACAACCACACTCCGTCCGTGAGAACAGAGGACAACCGCACACTGTCTGTGATAGCAGACGACAACCGCACGCCGTCCTTGAGGACAGAAAACAACCACACGTCGTCTGTGAGAGCAGAAAACAACCACACGTCGTCTGTGAGAGCAGAGGACAGCCACACATCGTCTGTGAGAGCAGAAAACAACCACACGCCGTCTGTGAGAACAAAGGACAGCCGCACACCGTCTGTGAGAGCAGAAAATAACCGCACGCCGTCTGTGAGAGCTGAGGGTAACCGCACGCCGTCTGTGAGAGCCGAGGACATCCACACCTCGCCTGTGAGAGCCGAGGGTAACTGCACACCATGCCTCGGGGCAGCTGGGGGTACGATGCCATCTGGAGCGACCTCTGAGGAGGACCCTCTCGCGACGGCCTTGCGCACCATTCATGGATATCCGGCCAGTCCAAAGCCGGCGAAACGGCGAAAAGGCGAGTCCACTGTTTGCGTTTGTGACGATGAGCTGTCCGACTTGAGAAGGCTAGGCAAAGCTGGTGAATGAAATTAAACTGGGTAAATCGGCAGCTTTTGTTCCTAGCGCACTGGAGGTAGGCCATCTGCTCGCATTATAGCTGATGCATGTCATTGCAACCAAGAACTTGGTTGATAATGGCTTGCTGTAACGCGGTGTGACACTCAGCAACGGTGTCGCTCCCCCTCCCCAGCCGTGGGTCAGTAACGCGTACTCGGCCGAGCTGCTGAGTTTCCACGGTAGAATTCGTTCTGGAGAACGACGGCCACGGCGTAACGCCAGCCACGCATGTCAACGCACCCCGCAGTGAGCCGATGCCTCGTAAACCCTGTCACGCTGGGCGTCTTCAGCCGAGGATGCTGAGCCATGTCTGTGTTGAAGAGTCCACCGCCCGCATCTGGGCCGCTGGAAGCGTGGTGTCCCTGCACAGAACGTTGTAACGTTGAGCGTCTTTTTGTGCCGTGTTTGTTGGGCGCCGCGGTGCAGGTCTGCGGGCTGACTCCGTGCGCGTCTGCAGGTGGTCGCCAGGCGGCCCTGAGTCCGCCATCGGTGCCTGCGCCGGCCGCGGCGGCTGCACAGCCAGCTGGCGGGGCCTGGGAGCCGGCGGGGACCACTCCACGGCCAGATGGGAACAACATTGGCAAACTGAAGGCGGACGCGGTGCGCAGCCGTTCCCCCTCGGACCGTCCTCCCTCCGATCGTCCTCCCTCTTACCGTGTTCCCTCTGACAGTCCTCCCTTTGACCGTTCCCCCCTTGACCGTCCTCCCTCTGACCGTCTCCTCTCTGACCGTCCCCCCTCTGACCGTCTCCTCTCTGACCGTCCCCTCTCTGACCGTCCTCCCTCTGACCGTCTCCTCTCTGACCGTCCCCTCTCTGACCGTCCTCCCTCTGACCGTCTCCTCTCTGACCGTCCCCTCTCTGACCGTCCCCCCTCTGACCGTCCTTCTGACCGTCCATCCACCGGTTGCCCTTCCCCTGCTCGCCCTCCCTCTGACTGTCCTCCCTCTAACCGTCCTGTCTTTGACCGACCTGCCTCTCCTCCCCTCACCTTTGCTCTCCCAAGCCGTTCTCGGTCGGACCGACCTTCCCCAGACAGGTTGCCCGCCCTGCTCCCCAGCGGTGCTGAACTGGCCGCCCGGCCGTCTCCCGCCGTCCGGCCCGCCCCTCCCCCGCCGGAGGAGGAGGAGGAGGAGGAGGTAAGCGTGGACGCGGTGCTGGCGCGCTGCTCGCTCACGCCTTTCTACAGTCTGCTGGAGCTGCAGCCCCGCGGCGTGTGGCTAGAGCGTTCGGACTGCGCCACGCTGCTGGAGCAGACCTGGCGCCGCCGCCCGTCCGCCTCGCGCCAGAAGCTGTCATTCGCCGGCGTCCTGTCCGCCGCTCCGTCCAGGTGCGTGGCAGCCACACTCGGCCTCCTTTTTGTAGTAGTCGGCCTCCCCCGCTCGAAAGATGCGTCAGCCCCCCCCCCCCCCACTCCCCCACTTTTCCGGGCGGACTTTGTTGACGCCGCTGGCGCTTGCGGCGGATGTTGTGTGTTTGTGTCGCATGCAGGATCATTTGACGAAGATGGCCGATCCAAAATAGCGGGCTCTGGTGCATGCCACCACTGTCACAGTTTTTGAGATGGCATCTCGGCCAGTGCTGATTGTTTTCACGTTTCAGGAGGACGTCCTTTGACCTGATGGACAACGCACTGGGCGTAGGCAACGTCAGTCCGGCCAAGGTGCGGTCCCGGTCACTGGGCGCCGGCCGTGCTGACGCCTCTGCCGCGCGGCGGCCGGCCGGCGGCGACCGGCTGACCTCCGAGCGGGCCTCGCCGGAGCCGCAGCCGCAGGCGGTCGGCTCGCGCCGGCCGCGCTCCATCGACGGCACGCTGCACGGCGGCGCCACGTTCGAGATCGCGCAGAGCCCCACCAAGCAGCTCATGTTCGTGGATCACGGCGGCCCGGCCGAGCGGCGGCCGACGGAGGGTGGCCGGCCGGGCCGCGACGCGGGCGGCGGGCGTGGTCGGAGAGGGCCGTCCGGCGGGGGCGGGGGCGAGGAGCCGGCCGGCCGCGGGCCGGCGCCGGCAGTGGGCGGAGAGCGGGACAGCGACAGCGATCACTGCGGCGTCCGTGTGGACATGGCCGGCGTCCGTGTGGACATGGCCGGCGACCGGGCGGCCGGCGCACGAGGCGGCGACGGCGCCCGCCGCCGGTGCCGAGGGGAGGTAGACGAGGCAAGCTCCGAGGGGAGGCAGAGGAGGCGAAACGACGGCCACCACGGAGCCCGAGCAGAAGGCGCTGTCGAGCAGTTTGAGAGGAGACGGGACAGTGGCAGCGATCGCCGAAGACGAGACAGTGACAGTGATCGCCACAGAATCCCCTCTGACGTGGCAACTGACCGGCTGGGCGGGAGGCGAGACAACGACGGCGGCCGCCAGAGAGGCAGAGCTGAGACATCAACGGAGGAAGCCGGCGGACGACAACGTACTCACCTCGGTCTCCGTAGAGGGCGTGACGTCACAGTGCGGTCTGATAACGACAGGAGGCCAAACCGCAAGAACGGCCACGGTGGAGCCCATCGCCAGCCACCTGGCAGCCAGGCCGGCTGGAGGCGCGGCGCCGGCGGGCGGCACGCGCCTCTGGCCGCGCGGAACCGCGCGCGCGGGAGGCGCGACGAATACCACTGGGTCAGGGGTGAGGGGGACGGGGAGCGCAGCGGGCCCCAGCGGCGGGATAGTGAAGACGCGCGGGACGGCCGCACGGCGAGCCGGCTGGACGCCAGACAAAACGGCGGGTATGACATGCAGAGCGACAACGACGACGGCGGCGGGGGGGACGGGGCCGGGCAGCGACACCCTGACAAGGTCAGACGGCGCCGCGATTACCACGAGGCCACCGCCGGTCGGCTGGGGAAGATACGAGACGGCGACAACGACCGGCGGCCCTCGCGTCAGGCGGCCGAGCCCCTCTCGGAGCGAGGCGAGAGCTATCCAGGACGAGGCGAGCCCCGCCCAGAGCGAGAGGAGCCCCGCCCAGAGCGAGGCGAGCCCCGCCCAGAGCGAGACAAGCCCCGCTTAGAGCGAGACGAGCCCCACCTGGAGCGAGGCGAGCCTTGTCTGGAGCGAGGCGAGTCCCGTCTGGGGCGAAGCGAGCTCCTTCCGAAGCGAAGTGAGTCCCGCCCGGAGCGAGGCGAGCCCCGCCCAGAGCAAAAAGGGGCCCGGTCGGTACAAGGCGAGACGGCGGAGCGGAGTCTTGGTCGGACCAGCGCCGACGAAGGCGGACGCGTCGAACGGGCGGGCCGGAAGCGAAGCCGCGAGGACGACGAACCGGCGCCGCTGGTGAGCCGACGGAGACGAGCTTTGTACGCATTTGTAGATGGTAGATGGCATGAATGAATTGAGGATATCTCATGAACGACGTGAATGAATGAGTCTATGTACCCATTCTGGCTTTTGATTGGGGCCTTGGGGCGCGCCAACTTCTAATGACGCGCGGCACCTGCAATGTCAACTCATTCGTATGTTCGTCGATGCAGGCATTTGATACTTGCCATTAAATTACGTCTTTTGCGACCCCAATGCTAGCTCGCTGTGCTCGTAGCGCCAAATGTGCTGTCAGCACAGCGTTGTATTCTAGTCCCAATCGCGTGTGTTGGCAGGAGGCGAAACGTTCCCGAACCGCACAGGGCTTGAGCTCACGACAAGTTCTCCAGACCGTCAATATCAAGTCGTTCCTGTCCAAGCTGCACAACAGACAGGACTGAATGGGGGCGGATCGACCACTAGCCTGCGTGCGGGCCTGTGCCTTCAGCGCCTGCACCGCTCGGCTGCGGCGGGACCAGTAGTACCAGTTGTGCATGTCGGTGAAGCCTACGGCGTTGCACCGATCAGGAGATGCGTTGACACGGCCAGCCGCCGTGACAGTCGCGTTGCGGTGCTGACACGATCGTTTCGTGCTGCCTGGGACGAACAGAGTACAAACGCGTCGTTTTGCGACGTTTTTAGTCACTGCGGTCTGACATGACTTGGTCCATTTAGTCTCGTCTTGTAGGCGCGTCATTTGACCCGGGATGGCGTTGTTGCGTTCGTTGATGTTCCATGCTTGCGCCCCATGCATTGGATGGTAACGATTTCTGTCGTGCCCCGTTTCTGGAGGTAATTTTCACCTGATCTAACAGTCAGCAACCAGTTACATGATCCATAGATAATTTCACAAAATACTCGTCGTTTATAGAAATATAACGATTTTTACGCATAGCTTCACGTTTTCGTTCAGGTGAAAATCAATGCATCGACAATCTGCGGACATTGTTATCTCTGTTATCACTTCGACGGATTATCAAAATCTGCCAAACGTCGGAAACGATAATGATCAATTTCTTCTGGAAAAAGACTGCTTGTAGTGGCACGCGCATTCAAGAGCATGCGGATTCGAAAACATTGTGAACGAATCGCCAAATAGCCGGAACAGGGAAAGTGAATGGGTGTAAGGGTGCCATGGGTGTATGGGTGTCATCTTAAGGAAGGGGGCATCTCCGAATGTGGGAAACCAGAACTAGTTTTGGCCACATTCCGCGCGTTGGCACGGGTTAATGCGCATTATTACAGAAAAGTAAGGTCGCTGTGACACCCATGCGATCACTCCTTCCCACGTCTATGGACGGGGCTGTAGTTTCCTCCGCAATTGGGGAGCTTTAGCCCCGCTCCTAACTTCTACAAAGTTAAAAAGGGTCGGTCCAGGAGATCCCATTTGTTGACCTTTTTTGGTGGGGTGTGTTTCATCATTTTTTGCTAGTCAGCCCTCCAACTCATATTACGGAAATACGCCCCGGCCGGTGGTATCTTTGCAACCCGCCCTCGCTGTCCCGGTCGTTAATATGTCAGATAACGCTCCCCGGTACATGGACGAGAACGGTCAGTACGTCACCAACCTTTCCACTAAGAAAAAATCGGTAGACAACTATATCGAGCGACAATGGTAGCAACTTAGCGTGTTGTAGAAGGCCTCAGCTGTTGAAGGTAGAACGTCTGTTAACTCTACCGTCACGGAATGCGGCTTGCGGCATTTGGAGCGCGCTTTGTCACTTCGGTTCTTTCGTCGGCTTGTTTTCGTTCGATGTTCTCTGAGCAGAGCGGGTGGGCTGTGATCTCGTCATCGGTTTCCCGACAATTTTTCGCCGCGCCTGGATATTGATCTGAAGGTCAGTGGATTGACCCGCCTAGCCTTGAAAGCTTCAATGAGAAATGTATGCAGAGTGTGTCCGCCACTGGCCATTCTCCGCTCGTGAGAGGCCGCGGAGAACGATCGGTCGATTTGCATCGCGGTCAGTGAGTCTGTTAATCGAACAATCGTTGAAGCCGGGGTGGGTGTTAACCTTGTTATAAGAGCAGCTATTCGTTTAAGCAGCATTTATTCGTTTTTAGGTGGAGAAGTAGGAAATTTAGTCATAGCAAATAGTCACGTTTTGGGCATTGCGGCTTGACTGTCCCAGGGCACACTTCAGTACAATTGAAACACATGGCTATGCGGTTCAGGCACCCAGCCGGGCAATCGTGAATGCAAAGGTTGGATAATGTTTTTTAGATTGTTTATCAGGTTGAGGTGTGTGCAAGATTCTGGTTACAGCATATGCTATTGTTTCACCTTTGTGTGGATGTGGCATTTATGTTCAAACAATACATAAGCTCAGTGTTTATGAAAATGACTTTTCATTATTCATATGGAGGCTGCTTGGTGCATTCTGGAAATCATATGGTATCGGCAATATCATTATGTACTATCAGTTACATTAGTCAAAAACAGGATTGATAAATCCTGCTCTGCTCATGGATTAAATGCAAACCTGATAGCTGACCTATCATTTCTGGAAAGTTGCCCAATTTTGTTTTTTACCCACAATTTTACCCACAGCTCAGTTGCTAATTTTACACATTCAGTGTGAAGCCAGTTTGTTAGCTTGCATCTTAGAAGCCATGCCTATGTGACATTTGCAAGGGCTGGTTGGCATGAAGTCAAACAAGTCAAGCTGGAATATTGTGATGATATTTACATTATATAGGACATCAAAATATGAGTGCAAATTGTTAACTGAATTAGAAATGCTTCATCATGGTAAATGCATGTGGGTCCTTTCAGCAAGCTGTGCTTAGCACGGACCAGGATCTTGAAACCATCACTGTAAAAGGGGCCATTCATGTGACAGAATATTATTCCATGTTATATTATCTTGGTCATTTCTCAGTTATTAAGCAAACTGTTTGGCCATGCAACATGATTTGAAAATGAGTCATCCAATTTGGGTAAAGTATATGAGCTGCCTCTTTGCTGTTTCCTTTCCATGGTCCTCCTATTTGACAGGAGAACAAAACCAACTTTGTGAAAGCTTTTCGGGCCTAGGACATATTTATTTATTGCAATAAAACTGTAAAGTATTTCTGTGCTTGTCCTTGCCATAATTGATGCATTAAGCTGTTGATCCATATTAGCTATTGAAATGATTTTGGGGAGATATCCCATGTTTGTTAATCTTGGTTTTGACATGCTGTTTGATCACTGATAAGGACTTGAGGCTAATGAAGTGTTTCAGTATGGAAACATTTTGCTGTAATACTTAGCAATGATTAAGCACTAGGTTTTGGCTGGGGTCTCATGATGAAAACATTGATGCAGATTTCTTGAGTTTGAAAGGTAGGTGTTTTTGCCCATTTACTTTGAAAAATATTATGCATCTAGTATCTGCCCTGAATACATTAGGGCAGACACCCTCCATTTGGGAATGTGCATAATCTCTTTCTGATTCTGTAGTGGATCACAGACTGAGTTGGTCAGGATGTGGTTATAATACAATAATGTTAAGGTGATCATGGGGCAGTTACAGCAACTCATGTGGCAGTTACAGCAACTCAAATCTACCCACCCTGCCACAACTAGGTTAGAACACAGGTGTGCCAATGGGTTGAGCTATGGGAGTGGACAAGCCCACAATCTATGTTTTCCATTTGTATTTGCATTATTGCAGTGAGTTTTAGGACAGGTGTGGTCTCCAGATGGTAACTACACCCCAGCCCTAAGTCCACTATATCTCAGGTGCACCATGACCCCTTAGCACCAATTGGACCAATGCAGGCACTGGTGCTCCATTAAAGGGGTAGGACATTCCTTTTTAAAAGCTTCTGTAGTTTGGAGGCAGTAACATCATGCCAAGTACTATGGGCAATGTTCTATCCCAAACATTGTTAAATGCTGATACCTTTGGGACATGATGTGTGCCAGTTAATATGAGGGTCAGTTTTGTAATTTTGGATGCAAGCAGAGCAACAAGCTGTTTTGTATTACAGAAAGTTGGCATGCACTAGGTACTTGGTGATGGGTAAAGCTGAACACCTGACACATGTAAGCATGCAAGATTGACAAATCCCTGACCACAGACTGAGATGACTGAGATTTGGCTGTAGTTTACAGGCACCTGAAAGGTGATCACTATTTGACTGATGGCAGATGTGTTCCCTTTGGATGATTAGGTGCAGGTGCAGTGTGACAGATGTCTTTGTGACAGATGATGTAGAGGTGCAGTGTGACAGATGTTTTTACACCTCTTGCAGTGATGGCCGCATCCCAAGGCCAGACAATCGCAGACCGCCTCAATGCCGCCCGGCACAGCCTGGCTGGCCAGGGTCTGGCCAAGGCAGTCTGCAAGGCCACCACTGAGGAGCTGCTTGGACCCAAGAAGAAGCACCTTGACTGTAAGCTTGGAGAACCAATTCATCATGCTGTGATGTGAACAGCACAGTGATGTGATGTGAGGGATGTCTGTCCCGCCATTGCTTCACCTCCAGGCAACTCATGAAGTTAACCATGATCATTTGTTCTTGGACAATGCATACAGCAATGCGAGCATTGAAATGTGTATGTGCTAACACCATGTGAGAGCTACCATCCTTGTCTGGTGTATAAATATGTAAATGTTTCAACTGGTAAATCCTCCGGCCGTCAGGTATTGGAGAGTACTGAAATGGACTGGGTGATGTTTGGATCTCAGCCAGATATGTGTCACGATCTGAACCCCCCTCCCCCTTCGGAATCGCTCTGATTCGATCCGGGGTCTTCTTATTGCGAGTCAGGTGCTCTACCAACTGAACGAACAGGGGTGGGCAGGCCGGAAACCTTGTGAACTTACTGGCACAGCAGGCGAGGATGATAGTCTGAACAATTACCCCATTTGTGGCACTCATACCTTGTCTCAATCCTTCCGTAGCATTGACGTGAAGTCTTGTGCTGACCTGACCTGAGGCTGACTCCTGCCTCACTTGAGCCTTCTGCTAACCTCACCTGCAGCCAGCGGAGACCTGATGCGACCTAGAGCCGAGCGTGCTGACCTGTCCTAATGCCAAGCCCTTACTGGACCTGTAGCCAGTGGACCTCAGTGGACCTGTGGGTAAGGTGTGGCTTGACCTGAAGCTGAGCTGTGGCCTGGCTGGAAGCCGAGTCCAGGGCGGGTCTGTAGCGGGGCCTGACCTGGCCTGTCCGGAGGGCCAGTGCGTGACGCCGCGCCCTGTGTTGCAGACCTGCTGCACTGCACCTTCGAGCCCAACGTGTCGATCCCGCAGCTGGCCAACCTGCTGATCGAGCGGACGCAGAACTCGTCCTGGGTGGTCGTCTTCAAGTCGCTCATCACCGTGCACCACCTCATGTGCTACGGGAACGAGGTAGGTCCAGCCGGCCGGGATGGAGCGCCAGGGAGCATGCGGCCAGCCTCTGCGGCCCTAGGGCCACCCGTGTCCGAGTCAGTGGCATGGGATGTGACCCGACCGGCTGCAGGGAGGCCCACTGGAGCGGACCGTTTTCACGTATACGTATGGCGCAACAGAGGTAAAAGCGTCCTGAAAGCTGGCCGTTGTGACCTCGCTGGAGTAAGGAATATCCCTTTCGGGATGGCAAGGGCAACGACCTGGTGCTCGGCAAGTGTTGCCTTCGTTTCTGGTTGGGTGGTTCAGATTACTCCCCCTTGTGTGGCCAGGCACAGCACACGTGGCCCGTGGGCGTAGCATGCGCTCGTAGAAATCGGCGGACACTTGCGATGAGGTAGCGTGATTTGTGTTACGCAGGGGTGCCTGTGTAGGCCCATGTGTTCAATGCGTTTACGTGTCGTTCTTGCGTGTTGGTGACGGAGGCGCGAAGCAGTCGCCTGCGTGGGCTGTCCGGCGCGCTTGAACGCGCGGTGTCTCGTGCGCTGGCGTCAGTGTGTGTGTCCTGGGAGATTAGCTGCACCATGCCTGTGCCAAGCGAATCTCCACTGTGCCTAACGAGACGGCCCCTCGACAGCGATTCACACAATTCCTGGCATCAAGCAACTGCAACTTCCAGCTGGGCAATTTTCTCGACAAAACTGGCGGTGAGTGACGGTCTGTGGTCTGCTGTCGCCCTCTTACGCGGCCCCGCTGTCGCGCCGACCGTCCAGCCTCCGATGTCCTGTCTCATTAAGTCCGGCCTCACGAGTGCGGTGTGGCGCGCGCCACGTCTGCCGTCGGCTCTTCGTCGCTCTGGCGCCGCCCGCCTGCGCCGGGTGTCCTGACCCTGCCGGCGGACAGGACCGGCCCGGGACGGTGGAAGCAGCACCACCCCGCCCTCGGGGGACCCGCCGCGAGGTGGCCACCAACGGAGGACGTGTGCGACGTGTGCCGCGCCCGGTAGCGTGCGCTGACGTGTAGAGGGCGGTGCCGTTCTGCGTCGGTTGCCTGCCTGCCGCCCGTCCCTGTGTGAGCGCGGCGCTTCGAGCCTCGCGCCGCTTTGGAACGCGCTGATGTGATGCCCCCGTCTCACCGCTCGCAGAGGCCAGCCAAAGTAAGCCGCTCGGCTGCGTGCGCGTCCCGCCCCGGGGCAGCCGCCGCCGGGCACGCCGTCCCATGTCCGCAGTCGTTAAGTCGGCATGCGCTTCTGCAGCCCGTCGAGTTCACTAGCTTCGTTGCTTTTGTGTTCGAACACTTGCCTGCAGACTTTTCCCTTGTGCGCTTGGGTTCACCGGTCCCGAAGTCCCGACTGACGACCGGTATTGGGTGCTGGCGGCTGAAACTAGAGATTATCGTGACTCGTCTGGCTGAAGGTCACATAATCTCGCTAGTGGCCTTTGGCTAAGGATGGCTTAAGCACTAGACGTGTAGGTGTGTGTGCGTGGGTGACGCTTTTGCGTACGCGTTTCTGCGAGTGCATGGATGCGGTATGCGTGTGAGCGTGCTTATGCGTCTGCCTGTTTTTTCAGCGCGCTTTCGCACCGTGTGCCTGTCACGCTGGCCGATGCACATATCGCCTCCCGCGGCGGCCGGCACCGGGCCCTGTCATCGCCTTGGCCCGTTATTGTGACCACAGCGCTTGTTTGTGTAACCCGCCGAAAGCGAGGCCCCACGGTCTATGGAGCTGCCGCCACGCAGCGTGTCCGGCACCCGTCACGGCGTCGCGGACTGCTGGTCGGGACTGGGTGGGGATCGGCGGTGGGTGCTGACCGACCGCAGCAGGCGAACTGCCGCCGCCGCCTCCGCCTCCGTTAAGCGGATCTTCTGGTCCGATCGTGCCCCGGCCGGGCGCGCGAGCCAATAAGCGCGCGTCTCACGCGGCGGAACACGGCGCCGACACGCTAGATGAAGGACCGCGCACTCTTTGCAGGGGGTGGGGGAACACTCTGCAAACCAACGCGAACAATGTACACAAGATAGCACACCGCAAACGAAGTACGTAACGGCTATTTGTTTTTCGCAGGCGTGACCACATTCACTTGTGACATGTATTTATTGTCGGGTCGTGGCGTCGTGTTTGACCAACGGGCGTGGGGGCTCCCTTTTGTCCGACGTGCGGACTGGTGTTTGTTTTTCTGTTCTTCCTTTCCCGGTCACCTGGATTTATTTCCCTTCTACTGTCCTGATTGCACCTGTTAGTTAGCCCCCTTTCGTTCCCCTGACTGAGTGCCGTTCTGTTGTCCGCGCGGTCTACCTGCCAGTCCTGTGCCGCCGCTCCGTCCCTCCTGAATGGGGTCCAGTCCTGTCCCGCCGCTCCGTCCCTCCTGACTGGGGTCCAGTCTGTAAGTCCAGTCTGGCTGTTCCGTTCCTCTAGTCTGGGGTCCAGTCTGAGTCCGTGTGAGCCGCTCCGTCCCCTGTCTGGGGTCCAGCCTGAATCCTGTCCGGCCGCTCGGCCCCCCAATCTGGATCCAGTCTGGGTCTGTATGAGCCGCTCCGTCCCCTACCCGTGCGATCCATCAGTGAGTTCCGCCTGACGGGGGGGGGGGGGGGGGAAGTAGGGGACAAGGCTGGAGGGACCCCAGTCTGGGGTCCAGCTGTTAGGTGGTGTGTGCCGCTCAGTTCCTCTGTGCCTGTGGCCGACGTGTGGCGTGGGCAGCACGACCAGCTCGCTCGTAGGAGCCGCCTGAGAGGCACGAGGGCGCCGCGCCGACGGCCAGAACTGGTCTGGCCGGGCCGGGCAGAGGAGGGGAGGGGAGAGCAGCCGCAGAACCAGTCCCCCGCCGCACGGGCTCGCCGCCCACCCAGCACTGTCCGCCGAAAAACGGGCCGGGAATTTACCAGCGGTTAAGGAAATCTGTGCAGAGATACTTGGCATCCTTGCCGTCACGAAATTAGCCATGTTTCTTGGCCTTGACATTTGGCTGGTTCTGCAATGCGTTTAATGTGTTGGATTGTAGTGTAGTGGTGTTGCTGGACGTCGTAGAGGCAGCTTGTGATGTCTAACGCTGCATAGACGATGGCCATTGTGACGGTTAACGTTCTAGAAACGAAGGTTACTTGTTACATGCGCATTTATTTGAATGTCATTTCTTCCACGTTGTGTTCAACTTCGTAGGACCCTGTTGCTTAGACTGCACGAGTGGATTGTATGTACCGTTGATGTATTTTGTGTCTATGCTGTATCGGTAGAAACCGCACAATCTTGGGATCAGGACTATAAACAGCTGTGTTCGCGGTGGAGTAGCGTATCAACATCATCGGCTTGTACGACCGTACGCTAAACCAGTGCCGACATCTTCACACCCGGCTCAGCGAGCCAAAACACTGCATCATCTCGGCGGTGGCCTTGAATCGATCGTCGGCCGTCGCGTGAGGGACGCCGGCCGAGTGTCGCAGCACAGCCCCGGGAAGCCCGGGAGCCGCCGATTAGCCGCCGTCTCCGGCCCGGCCGGCGCCGCCGCCGCGCGCCGGTACCGTCTAATGTCCGTCTGCTTCCAGGCTATGACATGTCCACCTACATCCGACGCTACGCGAAATACCTGAACGAGAAGGCCATGAGCTACCGCGCGGTGGCCTTCGACTTCTGCAAAGTGAAGCGCGGGTAAGACGCGCTGCCGGGGAGAGAGGACAGGCCCCGACAGCTGGTCCGAGCCAGCCGATTCCCCGCGGTGTCAAACTTTGCAGTCGACGTCCGGGCCGAGCGTCGCACACGGCGCGGCGGCGGTGTCGGCTGCGAGATCTCCTGACAGCGGCCATCCGTCCGGGCCGAGCGTCGCACGCGGCGCGGCGGCGGTGTCGGCTGCGAGATCTCCTGACAGCGGCCATCCGTCCGGGCCGAGCGTCGCGCACGGCGCGGCGGCGGTGTCGGCTGCGAGATCTCCTGACAGCGGCCGTGCGGCGGTGTCGGCTGCGAGATCTCCTGACAGCGGCCATCCGTCCGGGCCGAGCGTCGCGCACGGCGCGGCGGCGGTGTCGGCTGCGAGATCTCCTGACAGCGGCGCGGCGGCGGTGTCGGCTGCGAGATCTCCTGACAGCGGCCGTGCGGCGGTGTCGGCTGCGAGATCTCCTGACAGCGGCCGTCCGTCCGGGCCGAGCGTCGCACGCGGCGCGGCGGCGGTGTCGGCTGCGAGATCTCCTGACAGCGGCCGTGCGGCGGTGTCGGCTGCGAGATCTCCTGACAGCGGCCATCCGTCCGGGCCGAGCGTCGCGCGCGGCGCGGCGGCGGTGTCGGCTGCGAGATCTCCTGACAGCGGCCGTGCGGCGGTGTCGGCTGCGAGATCTCCTGACAGCGGCCATCCGTCCGGGCCGAGCGTCGCGCGCGGCGCGGCGGGCGGTGTCGGCCTGCGAGATCTCCTGACAGCGGCCATCCGTCCGGGCCGAGCGTCGCGCGCGGCGCGGCGGCGGTGTCGGCTGCGAGATCTCCTGACAGCGGCCGTGCGGCGGTGTCGGCTGCGAGATCTCCTGACAGCGGCCGTCCGTCCGCTGGCGGCTGGCAGATGCGGCCGACGCTATGCCGGCCGCCGGCGCCGTTGGACGCTGTCCGTGCCGAGGCCGCTGGTAGTGGAGCGCTTGAGACCGGCGGCGGAGCGCTCTCCCGCGCGCGAGCTCGGTTTGCATGCACGGCCCCCCCCCCCCCGCTCGAGTTACGCCCGGGGCGGCGGGCAGGGGGGGGGGGGGGCGGAACGGTTGACGCCGGCTGATCGGCGCCGCCGGCCGCTGCGGCGATTAGGCTGAACTCTGCGGGGGAGGGGGTCATGGGGCGCGCCGGCCTGGGGCGGGCTCGGCCAGTGGCGCCGGTCGAGCGACATCCCAGCGGACCACTCGACTCGGCCCAGGGCGCGGCGACGGCTGGCTCAGCAGGGCAAGTTGGTCGGAAGCTCACTGACTCACAGCGCTAGTGCCACCAAATTATGTCAGAGAGCTCTAATGTCAGTGGGTGCCGAAACACATGGCCCACCACAGGCGACATGGAGCATCTAGTATATCACAGACATCGAGTTTCTAGATGAATTCTCTGCCACACACCCACCGACTGGTACGTGTGTAGCGTGTCCCGGTCTAGCTTTGCTGCTTGCTCAGTGTTTTTTAAGCATGTATTAAAAAGATCACCCGCGAGAACGGGTAATCTGTCACGATGATGTCGCTCACTCCGCGCAAATAATGTTTGTGGCCAAACGCATGCGACGGCTGAGCTTTTCACCCAAGAAGCTGTGCCCTTGCTGTCCGAAGCGGCTACCTCCGCAGACGTGTAGGCAGGTGTCGTTGATGGGGGGGGGGGGGGGGGGGGGTGGGGGAAGAATCCATCGCAGAGCCTTCCCGCTGCAGCGGATAAACAGGTACGGTCCGTGCGGGCGACCATGCCTGTTTATCCGCTGGCGCAAGTCCTGTTCGCGTTTGTCCATGTGCGATAACCTGCTAGTCTGCGGACTGTGCTGGTCCATTGTGTGGCCAGAGGCCCGCTCCTGACGGGCCGCCCTCCCCCGCGCTGTCTGCAGGAAGGAGGAGGGGACGCTGCGCAGCATGACGGCCGAGAAGCTGCTGAAGACGCTGCCCGTACTGCAGAACCAGGTGGACTCGCTGCTGGAGTTCGATTGCTCGCCCAACGAGCTGACCAACGGCGTCATGAACACCGCCTTCATGTTCCTCTTCCGCGACCTCATCCGCCTGTTCGCCTGCTACAACGACGGCATCATCAACCTGCTGGGTAGGAGGGGCGTCGACCGGCGGGAGGAAGCGCGGCGCGGCGGCTGGGCGGTGGGCGCCGGCAAGGTCCGCCGACTCGACACAGCCACTGTTTAAGGTCGCTGCCAGGGTCAGCTGACATAACGAGCCGACGGCGCCGTGACACTTGTGACGGGCGACCCTTTTGACGGACGGGAGCGGACGGGCGGTCGGGGAGGGGCAGGGGGAGCGTTAGTCAGCAGAGCCTGATCGGCTGAACGGGCCGATACGGGCTGATGGCCTCCGCTCGAGCAGCGGCTGATGAGCGGGCGGATAGACGCGGCCACTTGGGACTTGACAGCTTACCTCACGCCTGATAATGAAATATTGATAAAGATGAATGCCGTTGTAACGAAAAAAAGTAGATGCTGATGTCCCCTCACTGGTCGGTTGAAATGTTGTTTTTTCTTGGATTACAGAGAAATACTTTGAAATGAATAAGAAACAATGTCGCGAGGGTTTGGACTTGTACAAGAAGTTCCTGATTCGGATGGACAAGGTTGGCGAGTTTTTAAAGGTGGCAGAGGTAAGGTATCTGTTGGGGTCTGCTGTGCAAGATTATTCCGTCTAAGTGCACTCTGATGATATGTCGATGGCCGGTTTCTTTAAAGTGTAAATGTGGCTTAACCTTTTTCTAATCGCTTCTTATAGGCGCTTGGACTAGAAGCAACTTGATTTTACAGAAATGAGAAGTCAGTGAAACGAACCAGGTGTGTTTCCTGCGCGCTTGGAAATCAGATAGACGTAGTTATTCCTAGTTCAATTTTGATAAGCTGGTCCAGCCTGGCTGTTTGCATCTCTTAGGGTCCTTTTGCTAGTTGTATATCATCGTTTTTTTCTGGAGCGATGCGAACGACATTTAGGACAGGTTGATAATGAACGGGTTGTGATGTAGTTGACACTGTGCCCTTGTTTTGTCCCCGGTCCGCCCGACACTGTGCCCCAGTCTCGTTCTCTGTCTCCCCGGCATTGGGGCCCTGTCCTGTCCCCGGTCCGCCCGACACTGTGCCCCAGTCTCGTTCTCTGTCCCCCCGGCATTGGGGCCCTGTCCTGTCCCCGGTCCGCCCGACACTGTGCCTCTGTCCCGTCCCCGGTCTGCCCGACACTGTGCCTCTGTCTCGTCCCCGGTCCGCCCGACAGTTTGCCCCCGTCTCGTCCCCGGTCCGCCCGACACTGTGGCCCTGCCTCGTCCCCGGTCCGCCCGACAATGTGCCCCTGTCTGGTCTCCGGTCGGCCCGACACTGTACCTCTGTCTCGTCCCCGGTGCGCCCGACACTGTGGCCCTGTCTCGTCCCCAGTTCGCCCGACACTGTGCCCCTGTCTCGTCCCCTGTCCGCCCGACACTGTGCCTCTGTCTCGTCCCCGGTCCGCCCGACAATGTGCTCTTGTCTCGTCCCCGGTCCGCCCGACAATGTGTCCCTGTCTGGTCTCCGCTGACACGGGCGTCGCCTGGGACCGGTAGCGCATTGGCGTGGACAAGGGCGAGATCCCGGACCTGGCGCGCGCGCCCAGCAGCCTGCTGGACGCGCTGGAGCAGCACCTGGCCCACCTGGAGGGCAAGAAGGCCGGCACGGCCAACACCAGCAGGTGGGGGATCGCCGCCGCCGCGGTGGTCCTCACTGGAGTACTACGGGGCTGACGGGCCAGCTTCCGGGTCAGATGAGGGGGGGGGGGGGGCACGTGATCCGCCGGGTCGTGTCGGGACACGTGTGTGCGGTTGCGACTGCGATCTAGTCGGGGCTACGGCTTGGCTCAGAGGGGACGAATTTCACGCCCCCTGTGGAAAGTGGAAGTGATCGAATCCGCTCTAAGCGGTATGTGATGCTCTGTTTAACATGTTGTTCCTGTGACCGCACATAATCGCGTTGTGCTTGCATGCCCATTTTATATTCGGGTTATTTTTAGCATTTTTCGTGGGATGTTTTGAACTTGGATGGCTGTCTTGGCTTAAGTTTTCCGTTTTTGTTTTGTTTTGTTTTGGTTTGTTTTGTTTTGTGTGGTGTAGATTGTATTCTTGCGTGCATATAACGTTAGTTACGCCTGCACCAGTTCGCAAACCGGTGTTTGAAGTGGCGACGTCCGCCTGCTGTTCCGCCGCGGAGTGTTTTGGTTTCACCGCACGGCGCCAGACCGTAGAACCGAGCTGCTCGCCTCTGCATGCGACGGGCCGTTTTGTGTTGGCACGCACGCGGGCGCCGTAGCCGCCGCCGTCGCATGCGCACTGACCTGCGTGTGTGCCTGCCTGCCTGCCCGCGTGCGGTCACAGGATCAACATCTCGTCGGCGGTGACGACGCTGACGTCGACGAGCACCGCTTTCGACAGCGTCGGCGCGTCGGCCGTGGACGAGGCGCTGCGCTACCAGGCGCTGGCGGACGAGGAGGCGGCCTTGGAGCAGCTCAAGGTGGGACGAGCTGCGGTGCGGCCGACCGAGCCGGTCAGGGCTTGTGGCGCGGCCGGTGCGCGACCGACCGGGCCGACCAGGGTGTGTGGCGTGGCCGGTGCGCGGCCGACCGAGCCGGTCAGGGTGTGTGGCGCGGCCGGTGCGCGGCCGGTGCGCGACCGACCGGGCCGGCCAGGGTGTGTGGCGCGGCCGGTGCGCGGCCCGACCGAGCCGGTCAGGGTGTGTGGCGCGGCCGGTGCGCGGCCGGTGCGCGACCCGACCGGGCCGGCCAGGGTGTGTGGCGCGGCCGGTGCGCGACCGGTGCGCGACCGACCGGGCCGGCCAGGGTGTGTGGCGCGGCCGGTGCGCGGCTGACCGGGCCGGTCAGGGTGTGTGGCGCGGCCGGTGCGCGGCCGACCGGGCCGGTCAGGGCACGCGGCGCAGCCCGCACCGGCGCCGACGTCAGCGCCACGTGTTCGTGTCACTAGTTGCAACGTCGGTTGCCTCTGGTCGCTGAGAGGATGCGATAATGTTGCGCCTAGTTGTAAGGCCATGCATGGTAGCTTTGCAAATTAGTTTGTTGTAAAAATTATCCATAGGAAAGAAGCCGCAGTCCGGCTATGTTTTTTACATTCACCGCAGAGCCGTCTGCTTGAACAGCATTTGGCCTGCACGTTTTTGTGCATTTCCTACACAGAGTCGTTATTCGAGCGACACTTATCATAGATGTTTTGTTATGTGTAGATGACTAATTCGCTCAATGCTACTTCATCTGGGTTTGTAGCAGTGCTTGTGCAGCCCATCCCGTCAGCTCAGACTGCTGCTACCTGTTATTCGCGCAGTGCAAACCCACACGATCACTGCTTGATGCGCCTCCCCCTCCGTCGCACCGTACCCGTCCACTGACGCCGCAGCCCCTCCCTCCCCCAGGACGAACATCTCAAAACGAACCCGTTCCTGAGCTCGCCGGTCTCGGAGACGCCCGCCGCTTCCGCCACCGCCGCCTCGACGACGGCCGCCGCGCCCGTGACGTCATCAGCCAACGGCCAGTCGGCTTCCATCATAGATCTGTTCGGCGCGCCGGCGCCGGCGACCGCCGCAGCGGTGAGTCCGGCCGCCGCGGAGCGACGCGCGCTGTGCTGGCGTCCGTTCAGATGGCGGGTGGTCACGGCCCTCGCTGAGGAACGCTGACACGTCCCGCGATTGAGAGGTTAGCGTCGGAAAGGTGTTCACCCCGAGCTGGGCGGGCAGCAGGGCCTGCTGTGCAGGGGTAGTTACACTGAGCTGTCCTGAGCTGTGGAGCGCCAGCTGATTCTGTCCTGGCCTCGGCCCCGCTCCAGCCGGCCGGCCGCGCCTCCGACGACCTGCTGCAGCTCACCGGTAACCCGTTCGCCGAGATCATGGCCGCCTCGGCGCAGCCGGCCCCCGCCGCCCTCAACGGTACGCCGCCGCCGCCGCGTGCGCGGCCGCGCGTCCACCGATCACCTCGGCGGCGAGCCGCGCCGAGCCGCCCCACCTCAAGGGGACGGCCTGGGACGGGTGGCGTCATCAGCCGGCTCCCGGCCCGCGTCCGCCGCGCCACGTGGCGCGCGTGACTGGGGATGGCGCGCGCGTGATGAGCAGCTGCGTGGCGCCAGTACCGGTGGCTTTTGGTGTAGACGTTACTGGGCTCAACGACGGGGCACCTCGACTGCAAACGTGCACGCATACGCGCTTGCCCCTAGTTTTAAGGGGGCTCTGTGGACTGGGACATAGTTTGCGTGTCGATGAGATAATAGCGCTATCATTAGCGGGAAGTCTGACTCAGTATCGATAATCTCTTGGCAGGGTCTGGTGCTAACAATGACTCTGTATCGATAATCTCTTGGCAGGGTCTGGTGCTAACGATGACTCCGTATCGAAAATCTCTTGGCAGGGTCTGGTGCTAACAGTGACTCCGTATCGATAATCTCTTGGCAGGGTCTGGTGCTAACAATTTCAACATCTTCGACTCGTCCCCTGCCACTGGGTTCGCCAACTTCGAGCTGATCCAGCCTGCACCTGGATACAAAGGTACCGGGTCCGAGACCGGGCCGTCCGGAAGCTGCGGGGGGTTTTGCTCGCTGATCTGTGTAGGCTACGCGTGTGTGCTGTCCGTTCTACGAGTTTGCTAACGCACGGCTCTAAATTTCTGGCACTGTTTGATCAGCACAGCCGCGCTGTGCTGATCAGCGGCGTGTGTCGTACTCTGAGTCCACTTTGGCCCCTGACTACCGAACCCGGAATACAGTCTGTGATGACTAGGCAGCGGTGTTGCTGTGTAGCTGCTGCTGGGTGTGCGTGCGTGCGTGCGTGCGTGCGTGCGTGCGTGCGTGCGTGCGTGCGTGTGTGTGTGTGTGCCGCTACGGGCGGTTATTTCCCGTATTGGACCCAGGGCTGAGTCAGCGCCGCGTCATTAACAGCGTGGCGACCAGTCGGCCTCTCCCGTCACGTGCGAGCCATTCTCGCGCTTGCCCTTGCGATGTGTTCGCTGGGCCGCGACAGTGTCCGTGTTTAGATGTCATGGTGAGAGGTCGGGAATCGGCTGTGATCGGCCGGCGGCCAGCGGCGGTCTGCCGGGCGAGCCGTCGGCCGGCTGACCGGTGTTGTGGTGTCGTTACACGCAGCCGAGGAGGCGGCGGCGGCGGCCCCGCCGGCCGAGGCGCCGCCGTCGGCTGAGGGTCCGCCGCCCGCCGCCGCAGGTACTGGCCCTCCGCCGCGCGGCCACCGCTCGTGCAGCCGGCTGTGGGCGCTCCCAGCCACGCGGCGTGGCTCCGTATCCCAGGCAGCTCTGGTGATGTGATGTCTGCGGTGGCTGCGGCCGGCTTTTTCCGCTCCTGATGTCCTCTGCAGCGGCCACCCGTTCCCCGGGGTCCACCGCCTGCGGTCAATTTGAGGTCGCTGATTGTCGTAATGGGTGAATGTGGCCCTGTGCTACATGGTTCTGTCGCCGCCGACGAATGTGCTGACTTTTGCAAACAAGGCTGGAAATGCACCTTGGCGTTATTGCCCTTGGTGTTTACATAACACATTCTAAGAAGTAATGTGGCGATGTTGTTGCAGGTGAACTTTGACTCCCTTTCCCAAGCATTCCACGTTGAATGTTGGTGTTGGTTTAATGTTTTAGATTGCTCTGATACTTCCTGTGTTATATATATATATATATATATATATATATATATATATATATATATATATATATATATATATATGCTTCATGTGTAATGTGTGTTAGCTCTAATACTTCATATGCCGTACGGATCGCCGGTACAAAAAATGATGCAGACGATGAAAGCGTCCCTCTCACTACCCATGCAGGCCCCGTATATATTTACCAGCCTTCTCCATTCCATTTATATTGTGGGTCCAATGTCCACAAATGCTCAGGCATTCCTCCATGTTCTTGAAGGCAAGAAAGCATTGCTCATAAGGGAAGAGGTGGACAGGACCAACCCTCCCCATGATCCGCATCCTTATTTGTAATCACGGCGAGCTATTGAGCTTCAGAAAACATCGCCCGGCTGCGGCCGTGTGACTGCTGTTATCCGTCTTGCGATGCGATCACATGCTGCACCCTCGGTTTTGGGTAGACTCCCGAGAATGGCAAACGGAGGAGTCTCGTACAAGGTATCAGGGCTAGCCAGCTGCAGTTAGTGGACTGCCGTGTCCACCAGCTTATCGTAAGCTGTATGACAGGGCACAGGGTATGTGCCCGCTGGCCATAAATGGTGTGATGGACGGAACTTCTACCGTGCTTTTTTTAAATATCCATTGATGCACTACGTATCACGTTGCACGTATGTTGTCTGCCCGCGTCCGTTATGTAATAGTGCACAGGTGATCGACTCTTCCCCTAGCGTGCACCGTGTCTACGGGACCGGACGTGACCTGCCCTGTACCGCAGGACCGGACGTTCCCTGCCCTGTACCGCGGGACCGGCCGTTCCCTGCCCTGTACCGTAGGACCGGCCGATCCCTGCCCTGTATCGCAGGACCGGACGTGACCTACCCTGTACCGCTGGACCGGACGTGACCTGCCCTGTACCGCAGGACCGGACATGACCTGCGCTATACCGTTGGACCGGACATGACCTGCCCTGTACCGCAGGACCGGACTTGACCTGCTCTGTACCGCAGGACCGGACGTGTTCGGAGACATCCTGCAGCCGGTGAGCCGGGGATCGGCGGCGCCGGCGGGTCAGCCGGCCAATGTCAGCCGGGCGGCGCCGCAGCCCAAGCTCATTAGCAGCGACCTGGACATGAGTCTGCAGAGCCTGGTGCAGAACCTAGGCATCTCAGGCAGCGGCGCGGCGCATGCGCAGAAGCCCAGCTGGGGCTCGCCGGTGAAGAACACGGCCAGGACGGGCGGCCACAACTGGACGGTGCCGGCGGCCTCGGGGCTGACAGGCGGCTCGCCACGACCCATGGTGAGCCGGACGCCGCTCCCCCCCCCCCGCCCCGGGTCACACCCAGGGACACGCCGGTCCCTTCGGTCTCCTTGGTCCCCTCGGTCCCCGTCCAGGGACGCACCGGCCACCCTGTGTCCCTGACGGCGGACCGGGCAACGCCGGGCGAGGCAGGCGCAGCGTTCAAGCTCCAGGAGATTGACCACCCACCGACCAGGAGTCGGAGGGGGGGGGGGGGGGGGGGGGCTCGTTCTGACGCCTGTGACACAGACACGGCCCGGCACTTACCCGTAACTAGTGTTGACACTCAGGGCTGGTGCGACCCTTGACTAGGTCTGGTCCCTGACTGGAGCTATGAGGAGAACCGATATGTGGCCTAGAGTAGGGAGCGGGCCGTTACCATATGACCCGGAGCGTGGAGGGGCTGACATGAGATGACCGTCGGCATGCCGAGAGTATTTGGTGCGATGATAGTATGTGTGTGGCCCAGCGTAACACGAGGCAATACGATATAATCTAGGATATCAAAAGAGCGGGTATGGCGTCGTCTAGGATATGGAGTCCATTGATTGCATTGCACATATGTTATTCCAAGCGATGAATATGTTGTCCGATCCGGGGATAAAGAACGGCGGTGTGGCATGACCTGCGGTGTTCAGGCGCTGTGGTAGGACTTGAGATGTTTTATGGGAGGTACGTGACCCAGCGTGAAAAAGGACGTATGTACTAATGATAAGACCCCGAGTCGGCGGGCTAGACCGGCGTGAGCTGTATACGCTATGTAGATATATGCAGTAGCGTCGACGAGCCGGGCCCGCGGCCGGGGCCGTGCGTGCGTGACGGCTGACGGGTGTGCGCCGGCTGCCGCAGGCTCCGGGCGCCCTGCCGCCCCAGCCGGCCCAGGCCCCGTACGGCATGTACGGCGCCCAGCAGCCGGCACCCGTGGTGAGTGCCCGGCGCCGGCGGCGAGGCCTGTGTCGCGTGTCGGTACTTCGCTCGTTTCTCGTCATGAGCAGCTTTAGCCCGTCTGCTTGTCGCTAGGGAAGAGATGACGGCACGTACGAATAGTACGGCTGTGTTTCCTGCCGTTGATGTGCTGCCGCTGATGTGCGTGAGTTGGCTCCGGCGCGCCAGGCTGCAGCGGCAGTCTGTCGCCGCTTGACGCCACCGCGTGACGGGCATGCCGTCGCCCCCTCCCCCCCCCCCATCTCACCAGCGTGTGTCGATTTCAGGGCATTCCGGCAGCGAACCCGCCGGCCTCCACCGCGTTCGATCCGTTTGGGCATTTGTAAACTATAGCAAGAACAGGTCAGTGCTCGCGCTCTTCCGTTCACAGAAACGGGCAGAGACGGGTTCAAAGTAACGGAGTGCGGGGATCAGTCTTCTAGGGGCGTTTCACCTCCCATTGCACGCTGTCGTATATAGTTCGCCACCGGCCATCAGGGGCCATGTTGCGTTGCTCGTCTAGTGTGCGGTGACCATGCACTCCCGCGCTGAATGTCGGCCCCGTCGACGACGGCGGGCGGCCGACGTCAGAGCCCCTGACCGGTTGCAGGAGCCGCACGTTCGCAGCGACCTCCTGGGCGGCGGGCGCCGCCACGCGACGAAGACAGCTCCATCGGCCGCGCCGCCAGGTTGTTTTGAGATTGTCGTCGCCGCCGTCTGTGTCGTTTGTGCTGTTGTCTCCCATAGGCCGTCGCCGGGCGGCGGTCGCGCGCCGTAGTGGGCTGGCTGGCGGCGGGCCGGGCGCGCCGCCCGACCGTGGCCGTCGCGCGCGCTCGAGCTTGGAGGCGGATCGGCCGCGGCGAGCGCGGCCGGGCAGGGTCTCGGCGGCGTCGGTGTCGGTGTGCGTATGCGTGGGTGGGTAGGTGGTGCGAGGCTCTGCGAGCGCGTGTGGCCGGGCGTGCGCGAGAGGGAGAGTGCAGGGCTGGCTGTCGGCCGGTGCTAGTCCCCGGCCTCCTGGCGGCCGCCGTCGACACTAGTCGACGGCCAGCCGCCGCTACATTCCAAGTGGTGGGCGCCGTAGACGTGCCGCCGTAGCGCCAAAACAGTGCGTGTACCCGGGGGGGGGGGGGGGGGACGCGCGGCCGCGTTAGACCCTACTTAAGCTCGGCCTCGCCGCTCCACCCAGCGGCGCGCGCGAGCGCGGTGTTCGGCGGCCGAAGCGGGTGCCGACCGCGCGGCGCCGCCCGGCCGCCCCTCTGTGTGTCAGCTGAATATAACTCTGTGGTAGATTGTGAAGTATGGTTGTTACGTAAATGGTCCCGCAAAATAAGTCTTTTGGTCATCGTTTATTTTCCGTCTTATCGAGTTGTTACAGCTTGCATGAGAATCTTTGTTAGCCGCTGTTGAATTATTCGAATTGGCATGACTGTATGACCCGCCATTCTGCCCAATTCATTGCATAAGAAGTGAAGAAGTGATCTGTTTTAGCACACTGCATAGAGTCAATAAAGCTGGTATTCGCCGTACGAACTATGATCGGTGATTGGTGTTACTCTTGTGTAGTGGACGCCTGCCATGCCGCAGATCAGACGAATCATGTCCAAACGCCGCGTCAACTGGGTTAGTCTCGCCACGACCTAGTGTGCTGTATGAGGCCGTAACTAATAAGCATTGAAAGCTGCAGCTCAGACTGCGAGGCACTAGTGCGTGTTGGGAAAGAGTGGAAGCAAATGGACAGATGCGCTGCCCGCCTTCACTGGAAGAGAAGGCGGATGCCTCCTTCGTCGCCACTGTGGCTTTGCGACGCACTCAGCTGCTGAGGCTATATGGCGTCGCCTGCCTCTCACAATGGCAAGAAGGGTGGACACTGCGGGGAATGGGACTCCGTGTCTCTGGTTTCTCCGATGCGAAATAGTTAACGCAGACGCGGTAACCGCTAGCTACAGGATCGGACTGCGGGGTGCCGTGTGATTTATCCGAGTGAAACGAGGCGTGAACGCGAAATTCCTGAAATGATGGAGCCAACGAGCAAATGCAGACATTCGAAGGCATACAGACATCTCGCAAAGCCCACTACCTCACTAAATGCAAACGCCGAACGCAAACTGCTCATGCATGACATACTTTTCCGGCCAGCCGGCATTACATACTTAATGACATATATGGCTTGCCATATATGACATAATTGTTTGCGTAGCCGGATCTCACGCAACCCAACGTTTAACGCCATCCTTATTCCTCCTACAGGTCGACTCAACTATCCGCGGGCAATAATAGGGAACCAAATACGTCTAGTTGCACCATTTATTGTTGCACGTGACTAAATGTTGCTCCACACCAATCGACGCGTAGTCCAGGGCGCGGCTATACAGTACAAAAGAGCTGGCGGCGCAGATCGATCGGACACTAACGGGCAAGCGCGGAGCGGGGCAGGTCGGCTGAGCTATAACCGCTGTCGCTCGCGCTGGAGCCGGCTGCTGTAAGCTCGCGACACCGTGTTCCAGGCGTCCATGTACCGGTCCATGCACATGGCCACGCATTTCTGGCGACAGAGAGCGCCGCCAGGTTAGCTGCGCGGCGCCGAGACACGAGCGTGCACGCGGCTCACATAGAACACCGTTTACAGCGTATAATCCCGCACGCTGACAGCGCTCAATCTTATACTCAAGAGCACGGAAGACGGGCAATTTACTCTGCACGAAAAACTCCCCACAAAAGTACCAGTCAATGCGTGCGTATATTATATTGTATATATATATATATATATATATATATATATATATATATATATAGACACACAACAGATACCCTATAGGTATCTGTTGTGTGTCTCTATATACACATAGAGACACACAACAGATACCTATATATATATATATATATATATATATATATATATAGGTATGTATATATATATCTCTCTCTCTCCTCCTCCCTCTCCCTCTCCCTCTCCCTCTCCCCTCCCTCCCTCTCCCCTCCCCTCCCCTCCCCCTCCCCTCCCCTCCCTCCCCCCTCTCTCTCTCTCCTCTCTCATCTCTCTCTCTCTCATCTCTCTCTCTCATCTCATCTCTCTCTCCTCTCTCACTCTCCTCCATCTCTCTCTCTCTCTCTCTCTCTCTCTCTCTCTCTCTCTCTCTCTCTTCTACACCGTTATTGTATATACACATAGAGAGAGATTACTCCACTCTATTACTCTACTAGGTTAGAGTAGAGAGTACAAGTTACTCTACTCTCTACTCTACGTATATACACAGGAAAGTACAGTACGTGAGACACACAACAGATACCTATAAAAATTCGGTGAGTGGAAATGACGGCATGACACCATATTCCATGGTACAGACTATGCTATCAGCTGCATGAGAGACGCTACTGAAATGCAGGCCTTATGGGCGCAATACGATCATTGCAGCCGACGCGCCCTAAGAAACCAATACATAATAACAAAAGAAATGAAGCCTTACAGTACAAAACGATTGTGGAGAAATGCTCTGGAAGGACATACCTGTTCCGAGCTATCTAGGGCAGCGCCAGGTTTTCCTATGCATTTAGCAAAGCACTTCTCTGTCATTTTCTGAAATGGTTCGGAAAAATTATTCTTTCATGGTTTTGGAAGTATTACATTTCTAAAGTATTAAACACTGTGATGCACAATGAACTAAAGATAACTAGCCTTTAGCATTGGGTTTTTGATATGCATATGAAATCGCCATGATCGCTACTGCTCAACACGCACAACCGTTGCCTATTACACGATCAAGAGAGTCGCGTGGATACATGATTAAGAGAGTCTCATGTGAGGTGTGCACGGAATGAGCAGCCATCAACATCAATACATCAAGCCATCATGATGCATCCCTGTACCATCCTTCATTTTGGCTTCATGATAACCCAGAACAGGACCATGTTTACATGTCTTGACAATCCGCCAATAGGAAGCCAACAACTGACAATCACCGTGTGTCTGGCCGCTTACTGTTAGCAGCTCCTGAGCATTGGCGACAGCAATCTGCTGTTTGACCTGTTCCATAAGCTCATCTCTCTGAGCACCAGTGATTCTGCCAGAGTCCATTGCTGAAAATGCAAAGTGCGGTAGTTACTTAGGTCTGTGCAGTGCTGATTGTGTAAAGGTAGTCAATTCACGGCTTCACCATCAGTGGCTGCATTTTTGAGAACATGCAACCATGAAACTACCCACAAATGGGATAAAAATCATGGTAATGCGCCCAAAATACATTTCATTTTGGACAAATGACAGGATTCATACCCAGCACACCCATGACCTTTACGGCCAGAAAATGTTGTCAGAATACAAGCATGGTAAGTGACACCTGCTTACCAAAAATGCAGTCGCCATAACTGCCGGAATTCCAACGTACTTTACCATGACATCAGGAATTACTACACAGTTGTACAGTGATGAAATGATTAAGGCCATACTGAAACATCACTTCTTACCCCTTGCCCTGATTCGCCGTTTCCATAACGCGTGCTGATAGTGGTCGATGCGACCACCTGGTGTTTCCAAAGCGATGCAGATAGAGCTTAGCGGAAAACGCTGCGGATTTGTCTGAACAATATTTTGTTATTGGTACTAGTTTTTATGCTGCTTTGTCAAAAAATGACCCCATTCGGCCAGGTAAATGTTAATTTTTCCAAGAATCACACTTTTTAGCTCTCCATCATACATCGTAGACTACGTCTCCTGATGGCTTTAAACTTGAACAGGTGTGTTTCCTGTCCAATTATGAGCATAATGGGGCTTAATTTGATGCTTTGAGCACATATTTATGACATGTGACATGATTAATGTAACAATGTTGGCCAGCCGCGCGTGATCTGCGGCATCATCGGCTGCCGCCCGCCCGCTCAGGAGCTTTTCACGTTTTGGGTGTTGCACACATGTATTAGATGCCCCAAAGGCTACTGAAATATGGACATGGTTGCACTATATGCCAGAGATATCCCAAAAAACTTTAGGGAAGGGGTTACATCAACTCCCACTGGGTTAACCGTGGCAAGGGTTAAGCAAATTACCACACATACAGAAGGTGAGGATCAAGCCAGAGACTTGCTCTCTGCAATGCCACTTAATCAGCTGTACAAGAAGCAAAGGCCATGTTACATCATGGAATGCATGCATTGTCAGGGACACAGTTCACATATATTGTATGGCTAATCAAGAATATGTCATCTCTACTGTGGCAGATACTGTGCTGTCAATAGGGAAGTCAGCATGTAAATGCAGTAGCCAGTTCAATCAAGTACACCAAGACAAATACAATCAGCATCATGGAGCGCCCAAATTCACCCAAAAATCTAACTTAAGTGTGGCTCATGTAATTTGTATGCCAAATAAAGAGTGAGCCATGCATTTTGTATTATTCTTAACTGTGTTAAGAATAAACAAACATAACATGAGTTAAACTTCAAGACCACTCCAGGTTCTGGTTTTGAATGAAAAATTGCAATGTATGCACCAAGGAAATTTGCTTAGGTGCATACCAGTCTTAAAATAGGAGTTTATTAAGTGCTTTATGTGATTTCAGTCCAAAGGTGCATTTGCATACATTTTTCAAGACAACAAATCCTTTACCAGAAAATGTGCTGAGTGGATTCTTTAAGCTGGGGGTACCTTTGTGCATGATATTGTCCACCAGATGTCATGGAAGCTTTATGTTCAGCCACCTGAACAGAATTTGGATTAGTCCCAAACAGTAAACTAGCATTTTCAGTGTCATCTGCCAACAATATCATCAAGCTGCATGGTGGTGAGCCAATGCACATTACAACAGCTGGAGTAGCTGAACAAAAAACTACTCTATACACACAAGATCCTTAACTATTGGCATCTATCACATCAGAACAATCCAATATCTATAATCAGTGGCAACTGATCTTGCAACAGATAATAAAGCAAGCTGTATTGAGTATGTACCAGTATAAAAATGACAACACAAAAACCAGTTTTGAGCTAATCAATCAACAGTTTGAGGTAAATATTAGGTAAAACATCAGGCGTACAATAACTTCACCAGCTCATATTTTATTAATGCAGGTTAGAATCAAAGTCAAAACTGCAATGCAAACAACAAATTTCAAATTTTCAAATTCAAAACTTCAAACAAACTGCCCCAGCCAAAATGCTGTTTCCACATCCACTGTTAAGGAGCTATTGAAGTGTTAAGTGCTGCAAACACATACTGCAATGATTCATATCATATCCATCTATAGAATTGAAACAAATCAGAAAAATTAACATTGCAGAAGTTGTCAAGCACATTCATGAGGAACAGTATCCATGTACACAAGACAAAATTGCTTCTTAAGAAGGTCCTGAACAACAAAGTAAGATCAGCACACAATTTTGAATTTGCGACTGATATTTATTTCAGTAAAGGCATGTTGCTTAAGTATCACCACATCTATCTCTCCTTCTTCTTGTCTTTCTCTAATTAATATAGCTATTACTAATGCTTCAAAATTCACACTGTCTTAAGTATACCTCAACACAGTTCTATCACAAATATGTAGCATTAAAGAAACATATTAGGTCAGTTACTAACCATGGCAAAATGCATACATCACTTGGTATTTAGGGTCTGTAGAGCTCAAAGTCGAGTTTAAGGAATAGAGGTTTTCTACAATTGCTTGACAAATAAATTGAAAATGCTTTTCTGACAGCCCCAACGGATCTAATCACACCCACTCGACATTGCACACATGGAACACATATTGCACGAACCTGTTATTCGTTTCCTGAAAAACAGATGATAGGAAATGAGCTGTAACAATACTTAATTGAGCCCAATGTATCATACAAATATGCCAATATAAGGTAGGAAACCCACGTGACCTGAGATTAACTCGAACATCGATCACCGCTCCAAACCACAGATGAAAAGACAGGGCTACAGCGAGCGTTCGCTCAGAGCGAGGTAAAACCTGAAAAGCTGCTCGGTGTGAACGTTTTGTGCGATCAGGAATGCGTGCTGCTCCACCAATTTGTCAAGGGGAAGCAATAGAGGCCTGATGATTGGTCAAGTTGGCGCTTACAGACCTCATCATCCAGGTGTGAGCATATCTTAGCTATTGCCGTGTTTGTCACTCATACGTCGCTTATGAAACAGAATATGGTAGGGGTTAATGTAAGTGGGAAAGGAAAACTTCTGTTGCTGAGCAACCAAATTAAAGTTACTTTATGTTTACCTTTACGCGTCCGCGATTAGCACGGGTGCGACTGAACCCTTGAAATTAGCCCACCACTCAAGAGCATCTTTAATAATCTTTGTAAAGGTGAAAAATATTAGAACAAGGAAGTTTTGGTGATGGTTCAAGCCTAGCGCACAATCGACGTCCGCTTGGCGGTCATTTCGCGCCCCGTTGTTCCAAGTCCCCGTTGGTCGGATTACCTGTGCTATTGCCGAGATTACCGGTGCGTACCAGTCATCAAAATCGTCAGTGTTTGGACAGGATTTTGATAATATCGAAAGCAGCCCAGAGCTCAAAACGAAAAATTTGGTGGAGGTCGAGGCTGAAGTCTTACACCTCGCATTATTCGGACCAGATCACTACCCTTCTCAGCCTGGGTGAATGTGAAAACATTTACATCGTGTGAGGGAGTTACTTGCCTGGTCAGGCAGCGGCGGACAATTACATGAATTTGGTTACAAGCATTGTTCTGCATCCCTTAATTAGTTCTACTGATGTCTAACATAATTAGTTGCTTGGCTCTACAGCCTCCCCTTTTTGTGTGTGTCCATATGATAAGCCATTCTGCACTTAGCGTTTATTGTTTTTGTTGTTAACGTTAAATTATGTGTGTCACTGGGATGGTGGAAAGGGCGCTCCTGGTCGCCTGTTATTGAGGAGCGGTTAGAGAAAAAAAGACCTCACCTAAGCGGCAGGTGTCTTGACTCAGGCGGCAGGTAACCGTCACTGTAATAATTTCCATGTTTGGAAGGCATAAGGCAGTGCTCGAAGTTAGGGCCCAGGCCACTTAATGGATACGAGGAGGAAACAGCCCCTTTCCTGCCAAAGCTGATGAAGAAAGTGAAATTCTCTAACTTTAAACCTGAACTTCGCGTAATCGATGTGGTATTTCGACCTTAGCTCCGAAAATATATCATGTTCGATACTTGATCCGTATTCCACTCTGGACCACAGATTGGCCCTCCTCTTAAAAACGTTAACATCCATTTATATAATATTGCCTTAAGACTGGAATTTGATCTAAACAGCATACCGAATGTGATTTACGTGGGTGAAAACTTTCAGTGAAAACAAAGGTCAGCATCAGACAAGCTCGGTCTTCACGAAAATTGTGTACTTAGCATTTCATAGTTTCGTAAGTGCGTAATTTTGAAATGCAAATTCCCACCATTAGTCAGCCATTGATTAACATCAAAGCCGACACTTCCCTACGCAATCCATCGGCGGGAGTTGTCGATGTAAGACGGATGACAAAACTAGCCATATACTCTTATCTGTCTGCTCTTGCCTGTCCTCTCATATTTTAAATGATTTTTGGGCGGATTTTATCCAATCGTTTCATAAATGTCTTACTTCAGGGCGCGACCTCCACACCCTTATTTCGGCCAGTGACTACAGTGATGTGTGAACGCGCATCACTGTGGGCTGCACAGGATGTGGGCTAGGGGCTCACTCTGTAACATTACAGAGCGAACCCACAACTCACATCCCGCGCAATTTTGAAATCACGTCGTGTAAAGATATAATGCGGAAGATAACAGTTTTGCCTCAGGCTATCATGTTTAAATAAATATAAATTAACTACACTTCAAAACGTGAAGTCAGTTTTACTCAAGATTATCATGTAGATCATACATATGAGAAGAGATGGAGGAATAATAAGTAGTTCAAAGTTGTAGCCTCAACACTTGTAGGACTGTGCGAATTAAAGAATGGGGTGCAGAAGGCTTAAAACATTCCTTAATAACTCTGCTTCTGATGGTAGTCACTGTATCGGCTCTTGGATGTGTAACAGAGGTTCCAAGATAATTTTCCAAATGGCGTTTTACCAAGAGCTATTTCACTAAATGT